AATGGTTTGTTGGTTATAGTTTGATATGTTGATATTTTGTAGTTTGGTAATTTTTGGAAAGTAGAATGCTATAATGATATGTTGGTTATAATTTGATATGTTGATATTTTGTAGTTTGGTAATTTTTGAAAAGTATAATACTATTATGATATGTTGGTAATATATTTTGTTTTTTTTGTAGTTGGAAATGTTGCAAACGATACTGAAGGACCCGGCATGTTCTGCGGCATTGGAAGAGTGGTTTCGTTCATTGTCACCACCAAATAATGAAGGAAATGATGAGAGTGATTGCGAGGAGTAGGAATTTTAGGATTTAATGAAATGTTTGTTTAGAATAATACTTTAGGTTGTATGGATTAATATTTTATAAATGTTATATTGTTTTTGGTTGTGTATGGGTTAAATGTAACAGATTTTATAAAATTGTGAATTAATATTTCATAAAATTGTAACAGATTTCATAAAATTGTAACAAAAAAAAATGAAGAGAGTTTTTGCGGCGACGCTTTTAGCGGCGACATGTAAGTATTAGCGGCGGCGTGTTTTTAGCAGCGACAGTGAAGTATTAGCGGCGACAGGTCAATAGCGGCGACAGTGAAGTATTAACGGCGACAAAAAGGACATTAGCGACGAAGAATTAGCGACGACAATCCCTATCTTTTGCGGCGACATACGTCGCCGCTAATGACCGTATTTCTTGTAGTGAGTTTGTTAAACAAAGATTCAAATTATTTTGGTTAAAGGACTGACTTTTTGTTTTTCGTTCCCATCGTGTCATTAAGTGATTAGCACTTTATACATACAAAATAAGAAAAAAATTCCCTTGGGGTATTAATTTCATATCAACTACAACACAACTAAATCTTTGTGATTCATTGAATTTTTCTCACATATAATAACTTTTTATAAAAATCCAAACTTTACTTTACATTATCCTTAAATTAAGAACCCGCGTTCAAATTTTTTATAAAAATCCAAACTTTACTTTACACTATCCTCACGACATTGAAAATAAAGGTTTTAGAGACAATAAAATAAACATTTGAAATTACAATGGATAAACGAATATTTAACCATAATAGTATGAGATAAATGAATATCTAATGGTCTGTTTAGTAAATTGCAATGAATGTTGAAGTACATGGCTCAATCTTTTTGTGGTTAATAGAATGTCGTTCATAGATAGCTTCAAAACTTTCGATTTGTTATATCAAACACATTAAATATTAAATTTATAAAAAAAAGTTTTTCAAAATTTATTTAAAAATAGTATATTTTTTATTGATAACATATTTTATTTATTATTGACAATACATATTTATTCGCCATTTTGAGTTGTAAATTCTTAAATTTCATTTTCAAAATAATATTATAGACTATGGTTTAGAAATATCATGTATTTGTTATTCAATTCGAGAATTGATGTATGTTTGAATCATATGACCTATTATAAAGAAGTTTTTAGAAATTTAAAAATAATTTGTAATATGTAATATTCGTTATATCAACTTTTATTCACTATTACTAAATGACTATTCATTCATCATTATTAAATTTTAGTTAAATTATTTTGTTATATAGATTCATAAAGTAACATGGATTCTGTTTTTGCTAAAGAACGACGAAAAAAAAGGGAATTATATTTAGATAACCAAAAAGCGAAAAATAAAACTATCGTATTAAGCGATCAAAGTTCATTTACTGCACAACTTTTTCACACTTCTCAAAACGGTAATTATTTCATATACTTTTTTTTCTTAACCTTACCATAATTTTTATTAAATATTTCAACCAAGTTTAAATATTTCTTTATTGTTATATATATATATATATATATATATATATATATATATATATATATATATATATATATATATTAACTACATTTATAGTTATATGTATGTCAACATATAAACTTTTCAAATAAATTCACATATATTTATAGTTATATGTGGATGTTGTTTTCGATTATTTTTTATTATTATTTGTAATAAAACTTTGTTATTAATTTTTATTTGTAATTGATTATATTTTTTATTATATTTTTATTTGAACAAGTTAATTTTATTATAAAAATTTATTTATTTTTATAACCGTCGGGCTATAACCTTGACAAATAAAATTATGTTTGGTTGGGTAAGAAGTATTATAAAAATAAATCCTTGAAAAGCCGCCGATGGGTTTGGTGCACAGTGCACAAACGCTAGTAGGTCTTTTTGTTTTGTATTTGAATGCAATGTGGCTTTACCAAAAGGATAATTGATTTTCTTTTGAAATAAGTAGTTTATTATGTATAAAATCTAAATTATCTAAGTTTAAAAATTTTAAAAAAAATACTAAATTTTATATCTTCTTTTTCTTTACAAATTAAATACAATATTAACATATTTACGTATTTATTTTCTATTCTTAATCTATTTTGAAATATCAATTTAATGTCAGCACAGATAATTATTTTTAATAGTTTATAATAAAATAAAATAAAATAATCATAAATCTATAAACTTATTATTTGTTCACATAATTTTTTTGTATTCATATCTTAAATAATTGTGCATGCTGATCTAATTAAATGAAAGGGAATTATATTTTTTATTTATTAAATAAAAAAAGATATTAGTTGGGTTGTTAATGGGAGTTAAAATTTAGATTTAGTTGGGTTGTTTAGAGATAGAAGAAAGAAAAATTAATTTTTTAATAAATAGTAATATTGGATTTAGTTGTTAACAAAAGAAAGAAATTAATTGTTAATAAATAGTCTAACAAACACCATCTATCTATATATGTGTATACTCTTCAAAATATAGGCATCATTTTCAGCGTAGAGTGTCCCATCACCCAAACACACACAAACGATAATGGCGGTGTCGGCATGGATGGTAGTCGCAATGAAGACGCTGTTTAGCATATTGGCTTGTGTGATGTTTGCTACGCTTCTATGGGCAACTGCCATGGATGGCCTCGCTTCTTGTATCGACCTACGGGATAAGTAAGTTCAACTTCAAAAGCTGAAATTACAGATTTTTTTTTTCTCAAAATTATCAGTAGACATCGTCGGTGGTTTATTTCCTTTTAGCATGCGTTTTCAAATGAAATTTTTGATTCTACTAACTTGATTTGCATAATCTTTCGGGTAGAGAAGTTGGAAATAAAATTATATCATTTCCATCTTGTAACGTGGATCAAAAAACAGCAGCAACACCCATCAACTCATGAATAGTACCCCAATAATGATTGAACTTCGCAATCATTTGTGTTGCCATTTTTTGAACAATTATATTACAACAAGAACTCCATTTAGATAATTCAAGTCTAATCTCACATATTTTGGGAAAATATAAGTTGGTTGTGGGGTACTTTGTTCCATAAAAGATCGAAGTGACATTATAAAACAATTCCAATCTCCCACATATTTCTTGTGCGTTCTCCCAATCTAATGAACTATGCAATGTTTTGTATTGTATTGACTATTACGTTGTTTTAAACGGCCACATTAATGCCACTTTCAACATCATGTAAGTTGAATTCCATCTTGTGGGGCAATCTAAACCTAACTTCTTCGAGTAAGGTATTTTAAGTTGTCGACATGAGTTCTCAAATGCATCAACTCTTTTCGGGGTTGTTGTCCAATAAGCTACACTTTCACGTACATTTTCAATTCCTCCTTTAATGACCTCTAGCCCAATTTTGACAACAAGATTAAGAATATGGGTTGCACATCTCATGTGAATGTGTGTGCCATCATGTATCAACTTATTTAATTGCAACTTTTCTTTAATCTTACCGATTAATGCATCATTCGTAGTACAATTGTCCACTATGATAGTAGACAATTTGGTGTCTACATTCCACTCCATCAATGCATCGATCAAAACATCCGTGAGAACTTCACTCGTGTGTGGGCAAGGCACATAAATAAACCTATCAAACATAATAATCATAAAGTTAAGAAAAAAAATACAAAGTCATATAACATACAAAACAAAAAAAAAAGTTGAAAAAAATAGTACCTTAAAATTTTACTCTGAAGACACCAATCATTAAGACAATGACATGTAATAGCCATGAACCCTTTTTTTATTGGTCGAAGTCCACATATCAGTTGTAATGGCAATTCTACCTTGCAATTTTTCAATCTTTTGAATAACCTTACTTTTCTCCATCGCATACACATTTTTTATGTCACTTTTCAATGTATTCTGACAAGGGCATTTGAATAAAGGTTGAACGGTTCTTGTAAAATTCTTAAAACCAACATGCTCAACAATAGAAAGAGGATACTCGTTTAATATGACCATTTTAGGCAATGCATTTCTACTATCTTTTTCATTGCAGACATATGTAGACAAATCAGTTTTCAAGTTCGATACCAAAAGTTTTTGTCGAATACAAGTTTGGCCCTTAGCTAAGCATTTCTCCCTATGTACTAACAAATGTTTGGTGTCAATTTTTGAATTTTCTCCTAATAACGCTTTACAAGTTTTACATTGTTCCTTCGGTTTCCCGTTAACAGTAGTTTTAACAAATTGATCCCAAGCAATGGTTTTTTGTCTTTTGTTTTGAGGTTTTGCCGCATCTTATTGAAGTGCTTCTTCAACGGAAGGAACATTTGGACTTGTATTATCGTGTTCAACTTCAACATTTGTAGAACCAATTGGTGTAGATAGATGTTGTTCACTCCCTGAGGCAATCTCTTCCATTTTTCTGCCCAAAACAAATTAATCTCACAGCAATTCAGCATATAAACATTCACTACAAAAATCAATTTAAAAATCAATTTGACAAATGGTTAATTCAAACTCACTACATGCCAGTTGCTAGTATTGCTTTGATTCTTACAGAATCCTTTTTAAAGGTGCATTTATTATTATTATCATTATTATTATTATTATTATTATTAATATTATATATAAGTTTGGCATGTGGATGTTTTTTGTGTTTTCAATTCAAGGATTATTAGTTGCACATCATGGTCGATATATGGATTCTCAAAAGGAAGAAGGCCCTGCTCCTTTGTTATGGAGATTTTCAGATTTTTTTTAGATGGGCTGATAGTCGGATACACTCATACACACATCTGATACACTCACACACAATAGACATTCATTAATTCAACGAAATTAACTGAACAGGGAGAGGGATGCAACAGCATCGATCAGACTCAGAAGTCAGAAGTTGAAAATCAATAAGTAATAAGTACAAACAACAAACCTGGATCGACAAATGTCGTCGATTGAGCGTCGATGTCGTCGATTGACCCGTCATCCGTCGTCTGATCACTGATGGTTATGTTGGTGTCGTCAATCGTGGTACGAAATCGATGGAGAATTGAGATGCTTTCCGGTTGGAAGTCGAAACGCAAATGAACGAGGCAGGAAGGAGGCGGATAGTGGGAACGAAGCAGACGACTCGTATTGACGAGTTGGTTTATTGAGAAGGTGTTTGTTTAAATTAGTTTATAGCTTATTAGTTTATTGCTTATTAGCTTATTGCGGTGGCAATAAGCAGTTTTTACAAAAGTGTTTGTGGTGGGAATAAGCAATAAGCAAGGGGAGGGATGCTTATTAAAATCAGCTTAGTTAGCTTATTCCTACCACAATAAGCTGATTTTTAAGTATTCTTATCACAACACTTAAACTTAGTTTATTGTAGTGGGAATAAGCAATAAGCAATAAGCACCCTCTTTTTTCCCAATCAAAACACCCTCTGAATAAAAAAAAAAAAACCCTATTGACTTTCCTTACGCATTATGATTCTATGAAATAAAATTTTTGAATTAATTAAAAATAAAACATAAATTATATATATATATATATATATATATATATATATATATATATATATATATATATATATATATACAGGTACCTATCGGGTACGGGTATGGGTATGGGTACCCGACAGGTAGAACCATCCCCGTCCCCATCCCCGTTTTTTGCATTCGGGTAATACTCGTCCCCGTCCCCATCCCCGGTCAATTCGGGGATTTACCCGGTCAACGCGGGTTCAGGTTTCGGGTACCCATCAGGTACGGGTTTTTTTGCCATCTCTATGTGTATCGAAGGAAAGAGGGACGATATCTGAGGTGGAATGAAAACATCGGTATCTAAGACAGAGTTTGTATTAGAAGTAAGGTTGTTATCTAAAGTGATGGAGGGAAACATCAGTATCAATGTTGACTAGGGTTTTAATTTTGCAATGAGGGGGGAGGACATGGGGATGATGGTAGACGGTGATATCTCTTACACACCTGATTCTCATGAGTTGTAAATCTGTTACACACCAGCAACAAAGAGGAACGAAGGTATGTATTGTTTCCGGCGCAAGAGGTGATTTCTGGTAGCGAAAATGGTCGACGGAGGGGTATAAGACGATGTCCTATGGAGTCGGTGAACTTATCTGGACGGAGGAATGGGGATTAAGGGATCATGACGACTAGTACACATTTTCTTATTTTATTTTAGTTTTTTTATAATTTGTTTTTATTTATGTTTTATTTATATAATAAGGGTAATTTGGTCATTATATGTCTATCAAGGACAAAACGCGTAACAAAAACAAACTATAGGGATGGTCCGAGTTAAAAAAAATTCTTAAGGACCAACCACGCAGACTTTCCCAAACCATAGGGACCATTCATGTAATTTACCCTAAATAGTCTAACAAACACCATCTGTCTATATAATGTGTACACTCTTCAAAATATAGGCATCATTTTCAGCGTAGAGTACCCCATCACCCAAACACACACAAACGATAATGGCGGTGTCGGCATTGATGGTAGTCGCAATGAAGACGCTGTTTAGCATATTGGCTTGTCTGATGTTTGCTACGCTTCTATGGGCAACCGCCATGGATGGCCTCGCTTCTTGTATCGACCTACGGGATAGGTAAGTTCAACTTCAAAAGCTGAAATTCCAGATTTTTTTTCTCAAAATTATCAGTAGACATCGTCGGTGGTTTATTTCCTTTTGGCATGCGTTTTCAAATGAAATTTTGATTTGGATCTTGTTAACTGTTTATTGCATCTTTATCTTTTTATTGGTAGTTATAAACCAATATTTAGTCAGCCAAATTTCTCGAGAAATCGAATTGAATTGTTTTTATATATGCATAACATGATAGTCTGGTCTGGAATTAGAATCCAAATTTTTGGGAATATTTTTTAAAAAACCAATTGTCTTTATCAATTGTAGTTTAAAAAAGCAGGGTTTTGGATTGGTCTTGTGTTCATCAATATAATTTTAAAATAATTGGATTGATAATAATTCAGTAGATCAACCGATTTGGATGGATGGATATATGGATTCATATAATTGGTCAACGCAGTATGAAGGATCCATTTAAATACTAATATATAAATGTTTATATAAAATTATAAGGGTGGAATGGAACAGGGTAATCCGCGGTATGGAATTGAAAAATGTTTTTAATTTTAATTTATTAATTTTAAATAGTAAATTTTTAATTTAAAAAATAAATCAATTATGTATGTTGGGAGAAATGAGATGGGTAGATTTATCATTTATGTGTTGTAAGATTGGAAAGGTGGAAGTGAGAGTAAAAAAAAAAAAATGGGTTGAGAATTACGTTGTTGCTTTCTGTGTAAAAGTAAATGACAAAATTGCAAATATGGTTCCTGTGGTATGCATTTTTTTGGGATTTTGGTCCAAACCACAAGTTTTTTGGATTGGTGGTCCTTTTGAGGTAGTTTGCTTGCAGTTTTAGTCCCTGTCCAAACTAAAATGACTATTATACCCTTAATGAATTTAGTTTTCATTTTTTTTTTACTTTTTAAAATTCTTATTATTAATAAATATAAAAGTGGGCCCACTTATTTCTCTCTCTCTCTCTCTCTCTCTCTCTCTCTTAAAATATCGACCCCTTTTGCTGCTTCGTTTTCGACTTACACTCGACGAGAATGACACAAGGGAGAAAGGAGGAGTTGGTGGTGATCGAAATCAGTGGCTGGCGATGGTTGGAGTCCTCACAGTGGCAGCGACCAAGGTGGGAGCGGGTGGTTCGCTAAAGGCTTTACAGATCGCTAGGAGGGAAGCTGATCTCCGGCCACCCCTATGGTTTAATCTCCAATCGGCAGCCACAGATCAAAGGAGCAAAGCAGTTTCAGTGAGGTGACTAGGCAGTGGTTTAAGGAAGAACTTTCAAGGCCGGTGATCTTCTTAGTCTCATTCAATTCGTCGCCGGCGACTTCATATGCAGGGAAGAGGAGTAGCAGAAACGGCGATCGCTTTCGCCGCCATTAATGGTGAGACGGGTTGTTTCTGTCCTGTAACACAAGCGATGAAGGAGGGGGGTTCTTCACTTTTGTGGGTTAGTTGAACAATCGAAGGTGATGGCTGGAACAGGGCAACGGTGGTGGTGAGGGGTTGAAGATGGTGGTCGCAATAAGGCTGCTCCGGTGCTCTTCTCTGCTACATTCCTTTTTTGTTGTCGGCTGTGGATGTGGGGTAGCGCTCGAAGTGGTCGTAGTGATCGTAGGGTGTTTGGGGTGATTAATCAACAGCAAAGAAAATGAGGGAGGAAGGGAGTTGCAGAGGTGGTGGCGATTTGCAACGGAGTGGAGGAGGAGGCGATCCCGCCGTCTGATGTGGTAAAGGAGGTTGCTCCGGCAACTCCCTCGTGGTTCTTCTTTCTGTTCCGGTGGCACACCCATAGAGGGGAAGCAACAGCAACAAAAGGGGGTGTTTGGGTGAGGGAATCAAGTAGAGAGAGAGAGAGAGAGAGAGAGAGAGAGAGAGAGAAAGAGAGAGATAAGTGGGCCCAAATTAGTTATTTATTTTCTTTTTCCTTTAAATTAAATAGAAAAAATATAAAAAAATATATTAGAAAGGGCATTTTAGTCTTTTCAGTTTTCCGAGAGACCAAAATTACAAGCAAGCTAGCTCAAAAGGACCACCAATCCAAAAAACTCGTGGTTTGGACCAAAACCCCAAAAAAATGCATACCACAGGGATATTTTTGCAATTTTGTCAAAGTAAATTCATCCATATCTACCCAAATGGTTTTCTCCCGTATACACAATTCGTATTTTATCTTTTTGAAAATAAATTTTCATTTATAAAGTTAGGGTTCTTCCCATTTTTTAACAACAAACATGTAACATATAAGGAAAATCGGGGTTCCTCTATTTCTTTAATGTGCTAAATGGGCTAAATGTAAGAAATAACAAAATGGATTTTGGCAATGTTTTTTTATTTGCATCCAAGGGTATTGGAACATGGTAAATGTTATTTCTTATCTTCTTTATTGTTTTCTCTTTAATAAGTTTAATTGTCAAATTAATTGCAGGTGGCTTGTAGCGGCACTCATAAACTTTTACATAAATTTTGCTATTATGGGGGTAAGAAATATCATTTATAAAGTTTACAGTGTAGACCTTGAAAAATAACCATTGCAATAGACAAAACTGCAAAATTAGACCCTATGGTTTTCGAAAAACTGTGAACAGAGTCCAAAAAGTTTTCAACTTGCATGAAAGGTCCAAAATCAATAATTTTTCATGATTTTGGTCCAAAAATTAAGAAATTCTCGTGGTTTTGGTCCAAAGAGAACTTAAAATGACGGTTTTGCCCTTATATTATTTCATTTTTACATTTTTCTTGATTTATTTTACTATTTCATTAATTATGAAAAAAATATAAAATAAAATCTCACCCTACCCTACCCCACCGGTAACCCTCTCCCATCTATCTATCAAACTCTCTCGACTCTGTCTCCCATCGTCTTCTTCCTCATTCTCAGGTGCAAATCAAATCTCACACATACACTTCCTCTATGTATTCTCCTCAGTAATCTGTATATATTTTGAAAATATAGGAGTTATTTCCATGGAGACGAATATGTTATATCTCAAATCGATGGCATCAGGAAGAAACAAATTGATTTCTGGGTATTTTAGGATTGGCGATTAATATAAACAAACACAAATCGATGGCTGGAGGAACTGACAGAAGATCTAAAGAGAAAACGTCAAGATTTGGTTCTAGATTTGAACTCAAGCGAAAATCATCGCTACCATCCTCCACCTCAAATCAAAACCATAAATTAAAACCTAAAATCAAAACCATATTCGATACCTGAAATCAAAACCGAGTAAGATGATGGTGCTGAAAAAACATCATGATTCGGGAAATAAAAATCAAATGCTAAAAAATCAAACTTGATGGGATCGAAGGTACAAGGAATTGGAAAACCCACCGGGATCAATGAGGGTTCCTGGTGCAATTTCACAATGTTATAATCGAGGTTCATCAAATTACAGAAGCTACCGGAGGATTAAAGGTGATCACGACAGTTATGGCTTCATTGTGGTGTTTTTGATCTCTTTGTGCAATTTCATAGGTGGCTTACCAGAGAAGGTTGTTTGACATAGATCTGACGATAATGGCTTAGTCCGCCTGTACCCCCCTCTCTCTGGAAAAGGTAGCTAGGGGTCGAGATCTTTAGATGCCCATTAGAGCTTTGAGGTAGGTGTCGGACCTGTGGAAACCACATGTGCGTTGGTGGCTAGTTTTTCGATTTATGGAAGATATAGACTCCCGTCGGAAACACCTTCGTGAAGCAGAAGCGTCGGAAATTTCTACAGATGCCCATCGAATTTTTGAGCCATGTTTTCCGAATTATGCAAGATACAACAAGATGGGTTGAAGATGAAATGTGGGGAAAAAGATTTGAGGAGAAATTTCTCGTGTGTGTATGTATGTGTCTGTGTGAGAGAGAGGGGGCATTGGTGGGGGGTGGACACATTTTTTTCTTTTTCTTTTTTAAATAATTATTTAAATACTAAAAGAAATAAAAAAAATGTAAATAGAAATAATAAGGGCAAAATAGTCCTTTTAACTTTTTGAGGACCAAAACCACGAAAAATTCTTAATTTTGGATCTTCCATGCAAGTTGGAAACTTTTTGGACCTTATCCACATTTTTTCGAAAACCACAGGGACCAATTTTGCATTTTTGTCATTACAATATGAGCTAAAGAATCACATACTTACACCATGTACATCTAATTTAAAGCTCCATTTGGAAGTAGCTTATCGATTAAAAGCTACCTTATGTACGATAAGTTACTAACTTACTTTTATGGTCTCATCAAACACTAACAATAAGCAATTACGTCCCTGACATTTCGAAACCAAAGTGAGGCCCTATAATTTTCACTTTGCAAAAATATTATTAAGTTAATTAGTTAAGGTTGCTAAAAAAAACATCTCGTAAATACACTACCACAAGATCATGTCTTCACTCATTAGTTATAAGTTGTAACTATTACAAACAACTTTTCAAAAGAAAAAAAAAAGTCAACGGATTACTATTTTCTAAACATCGATCTTCTAACATTTTTATAAGCAAATTCATTTATTACACTTTCATACTAAATATTATCAAGAAATTCGTTCTCAATTGAAATTAAATCCAAAACGTTTAATCTCTCTCGAGACATAGTAGAACACAAAAAATATTTTAAAAGCTTTAGTTTTGAAAAGTTTTTTTCATTGTTGCAACTGTAATGAGAACAATCAACAATATTTGGTATGCTAGGCAAGAAAATGGATAAGTGTTTATCATTTTTAAGAAATTTAGTATTTCGTTAACTGTATTATATTCAAGTAATAAATGTTTTTTGTAACAATTCCAATTCGTTGAATAAATCATCAACACTGATGTCTTGGATATAACAACTTTTCAACCTTTTTTTCAAAACTTTTGCAACTTTCTTTTAACTCACTAATATTCAGTGATTTCAACTTCCCTCCAATGAACCAATAGCTTGATCAACTATGTACACAATATATTGAATCATGAATGACTCATGAGGTGAAAGTTCATGTATCAGTATTGATGACCCAACGTCACTCTCGTCAAAATGTTTTTTCTTTTTAATTCGTCATTTATTATTTTTCTCAACAAATAGTGGATCAATTCCTAAATCATAAGTTATAGCTCTCGCACAATCCAAAGTCATCTCAAACTCATTCTCTCAATAGTCTTTAAAAAAACTCAATAATTGTTCCAACAATATGCATTGCCTCATCAATACACATAGTCTCAGATTGTAATTATTTGCTAAGGTTATTTATTTTAGCCAATATATGATACCATATAACCATATCGGCTATAACGTCAAATTTGTCAAGTTTATACTCTACCAGTCAAGTAGCTTCACTTTTGATCTTTATATATGTTTCTTCATCAACAAGTATACACATATATTTTACTATTTCAGGAGCTTGAGTCACTATTGTTTTCACACTTTCAATTCTACTTTCCTAGCTTATAGTTAACAAAGATTTTAAAATGAGACTCTAAGAGATTTGTATTTTTCTTTGGACGTAGATGTTTTTCACAAATTGGTGATAAATTTTAGAATTTATGATTAGATTTGATTTTTTATTTTCTTTCATTTTTTTCATAAGTAAAATGACTTCAAGATTACAAATAGATGATACTTCGTATATATATAAATAACCAACACGGCTAATTTTCTATAATGATAATACATAAAAATGTACATGTTATAAGAATACTAATGTCATAAGTATAGATTTATCCTAAAGTTAGAGGCCTCCTAAAATTGGAGGCCCGTTCCTTCGACTGCACCGTCAGCACACGCCCAGGGCCATCACTGACAATAAGTTCAAAAAATAAGTTAATAAACAACTCGGTACCTTTACCTTTTCTATTTTAAGGAATAATAAGTAAGCATTTGACGCTTACCATTGTGGTTATATAATACTTGTATTCTTAGGCTTGGATTGTCTACAAGGAATCAAGTTTGATCAAGGCAGCTGTTTTAATATCAATAGCAATTATTGTCGGAAGGTAATCTTTTCTTTTATTAAGTAGCAGCGTAACATGTTAGAAGTCATTTCAGTTCACCTGAAAACAGTGGAATTTGCTTTGGGTTACTTTCTTGGCATAGCATACTCCATATTTTGTATATCCTTCAAAAATTTAAGGAAGATATTGTTAGTCTCATTGAAAAATCTCCGATTTCATTCCTTGTACAGTGTTGTTACATGTGGATACATCGCTTTGCAGTTCTTCAAGTTGTCACCTGAAGAATCTTCAAAGGATCCATTATATTTTGTGTTAGTGAGACATCAAAAAAGGTAAGAATCTTTCAACTTCATTTGTATTTTGAAAACTAAACTTTTTGCTTTCAATCATCATTTACTTGCTATCTTGTTATAAATATGATGATATGTAGTTGAATTTGAAATCACATTAAACAATTTCTTAACTTTATATTTGGCTTAGGGATGCCTTGGAACACATGAGGGGACCTTCTGTTGTAACTGCAAGAGTAATCATTTCTGCATTAGGCTTTTTGATGCTTGGAACTTTTATTTATACATTTGTTGTTCATGGATCTCCAATCCGTATCTCACCGTAAATTTCCTTCTCTTTTTATTTCTTTAAAAGTAATATAAAATTAGAAGGTCATTAAATTCTGCTTTTTATTCTCTTTTACATGGAATGTAAAGTTGATAATAGTAAAGAGAAATTAAATATCCTCCTGCCTTTTCTTCCTACTTTATCTTCCTACCCATATGAAATTGTGTCAAGTGTCATATTTAGATAAAACTAATCATATTTTAGGACACTTGTCATCATTTCAAATGGGTAGGAAGATAATTAGGAAGAACAGTAGAATGATATTTAATTTCTCAATAGTGAATGCTTGCAGGTGTATGATAGCAGTAGTGACTGACTTCTATTTCCACGTTGTGGCTTTATCGGTAGGTGTCCATCTCAATTTATGATACAAAAAATTTGATTGATAAACTTTTAACAAATTTTTTGTTGTTTTAAACAACTCTATATTGTTTAAATACGTAGTTTCATCTTGTACATAGTTTAATAGGTCTTTCTGGAAATATAAATATGTTGCAGTTTTCATCGTTCATGAATAACAAAGATATTTGATTGCTTCTTTTCAGGTGTGGGTGGCATATAAGGAATCAAGTTGGATAAGTGCTTTCTTTTGGATACTTTCACTTGTATGTTGTGGGAGGTAATTAAGCATTTATACCAACTATTCACCTTTTTTTTGTCACTAAAAATATAACTTACTCTCTTCAAATGATATGTTCACATGTTAATACTATTTATTTTCCATCACTTTTGAATTGAAGATTCATCAATGATGTGTATACAACTTATTATTGCATATAAACACATATCTAGATTCATCTACTCTTATAATAACAATACATTTTCTGATTTACTAATGTCAAATTTTAACTCTGTAACAGCATTGCTACATGTGTATACATAGTGAAGCAGTTGTTCTACCTCTCCCCTCAGCAGCCGGTTTCCCTTGTACTTGTCAACAACAGTAACAGGTAAGTTCTACAAAATACTTGGTTAATTTTAATACATTTACATATCCAACTATGCCACATACGCTCTTTACATATGCTATACTATTGCCCAATGCATCCAAGTTGACATATATATGATTTTATATTTAATGCATTCCAAAACAATTAATAGATTTGTACAAGTGTGTCTTTGTAAATATTATATATCTATTCTCTTCAAAGAATAAAACTCAAATCGGATCTCGGGTTAGGATTTTTTGCATTAACCTATATATGTTCATTTTTGCATTAACCTATATATGTTCAATACAAATGTGTTGCTGCCTATGGATGTAGTATACCCATATTGGATAAACCAATGTTATGATGTATTTTATACTGCAAGCAGTCTTATTACATCATTTGTTATTCGTTTTTTGTTAAAATCTTTTTTTTATGTTTCTTGATATCTTTTATTTTTTACAGAAACTTGCTCACAAGTGATCCACTATTGATGGCCAATACCAATGCATAAGTAGATTATTAGTAGATTACTGCAAGAGTTTCCTTTCTTCTAAATGTATCTTTTATGATTTCACTATTATCGGACACTTTTACACTTTTGTTACTTCAGTTTGGACAATTTTATCCTTTGAAAAATTAAAGCCACCTTCATACCCAACTGAGGAAAAAAAAAAAAAAAAAAACTCCTCCCTATATTTCTTTTGACATGTTGGATGCTTTGTAGCTTAAGATTTTTTAAAACCAAGTAAAATCCACAAAACACAAACAAACTAACAAAACTCTTCCACCAAAATTTGTTTGTTTGTTTTTTTTCTTTTTGCCAAATTGATAAAAAAAAAATTACATAACATCAAAAATGATTTAAATTCTTCAAGGAGCAACAACCACAATCCGCCCAGCAACTTGGTCAAGGTCTCGTCTGCCATTAGAGGTGATCCTTCTCCCTCTGTAACAAAACCAAAAACCCAAAAACAATGAATTAATAGATAAGCAATTTAATACAGAAATAACAACTTAATAGAGAAAGTCAATATAACAATGTTAATTGTTCACTCACCCCTTGGGGTCCAAATCGATGATTTTCATGGTTTCCAATTGTTGAAGAATGTGACGTGCAATTCCACCACTGCTTTTGCAGAAATGTGGTGGAGCGCTTCCATTTCTCTTACGTCCACCATAGATCCTCTGTAATGCTCCAACACCAAGACCACCTCTCAAGTATATTTTCCTAGCAATTGATGCTGCAAAATGGAATTATAAATTATGGGTTTTTTAATTGTTTCTTCACTACGATAATTGTGTGAAAATGGAAATCGAAAGACTTACCAGCTCTGATGTAATACCAATCTGGATCATAGGGAGCAAGTTCCTTGAAGGTAGCAGTCTTCACTATATCAGTCCATTCAGGAAGCTCCATCTATTAAAATCAGAATTAGCAAATACAAAATTAAAATGCATTAACAGATAAAGAAGGCTAAAACGAAGCGAAAGAATACTTTACTTAATTCTAGATTGATTCAAACAAAGCCCATGTCAATTAGAGTGAAAGTTTAGGAATGACAAAAGCTCAGTTTGTTATCAAGCATAGAACACTACAAAGCTTCATAATACTAGATTCTAGATTGATGAAATTCTGATTCATGACTCTAAATCAACAAACCCTAAAATCAGCGATATGATCGATTTTACCTTGCCAGATCGTTTGAGATGAGCAGCGTAACCCTTCACGAATTCATGAGGAGAAACATCTTTCACAGTTCTCGCAGTCGCCATTGTAGCTGCGTTGAGGAGCTTTAGTCGCACGAAGAACAACTGGCTAGGTTTTCTTCAGTAGTTTTATTTCTATTATTCTACATTCCGTATTTATGTGTGGAGCTTTTTGGCCCATCTGGATTTATTGAGCCTGTGGCAAAACCAGGCAACCAGCTCTTTACAGTTTAGACAACTATTGGGCCTAAGTTAGTTGGACGTTTACCTTTTTATAATTTCTTTTGTTTTAAAAAACGGTTTCTTAAAATAAATCAAATTGAATCATAAATCGATTTGATTGAAACTGATTCAGTTTGAAGTCGAACCTGGGATCGGTTTGACATATAAAATGTTGGAACCGATTTGGAATCGAGAAGGTCGACCCATGCTTTAGTTGAACGGGGCCACGCAGCAAAATGGGGTAGCAACTCGTCATTTATCTCTCTTATCCCTAAGGTGAGAGACCCGTTATCTTTGAATGATTATAGGCCCGTCAACTTGATTGGTTGTATGCATAAGGTGCTTACAAAGCTTTTATCTCTTCGGTTTAAAAAGTCTTGAATAACATCATTAGTCCCGAACAATCGGCGTATGTTAGTGGTAGAAGCATTCTTGATGGGCCGCTTATAATGAACGGACTTCATTCATGGGCTAAAAAATCTAAAAAGAAAGTCTTGTTTTTCAAGGTGGATTTCGACAAAGTATTTGACTCTTTGAATTGGGGCTTTATTGATTCAATAATGGATCAAATGAACTTCGGGGCTAAATGGAGAAAATAGATTTGGGGTTGTCTCTCGTCAAGTGAAGCTTTCGTCTTAGTTAATGGTTCGCCTACTTTGGAGTTTGATATAAAAAGAGGAGTGAGGCAAGGGGATCCTTTATCCTCATTCTTATTTATTATCGCTATGGAAGGGCTTCATTACTCTATGAAAACGGCTTGTCAACTGCATCATTTTTGTGGTATCCCTCTTCTACATAATGCGACCATCTTGTCTCATCTTAAGTATGCTGACGACGTTATTTTTATAGGTGAGTGGTCCGAAATAAACTCTGTAAACCTCAATAGGCTCCTTAGATGCTTCTTTCTTGCTTCCGGATTAAAAGTGAATAGTCACAAGAGTAAGGTGTATGGGGTAGGGGTAGAAGACATGGAAGTGGCTAGGCTTGCCAGTATTTTGAAGTGTGAGCAAGCTTTTTTTCCTTTCTATTTATGTGGACCTCTCATTGGAGCTGATATGAAGCTTGGAAGAAATTGGAAGGTGGTGGTTGATAAATTTAAAGCTAAGTTGAGCAATTGGAAAGCTAACAATACTTCGTTTGGGGGAGGCTTATTCTTGTTAATTTGGTGTTAAATAGTCTTCCCCTTTACTACTTTGCGTTGTTTCGTGATCCTAAAAAATCATTCTTCTTCTTGATAGTATTAGAAGAAGATTTCTTTGGGGAGGGGGCATTGATAAGAAAAAAAATGGTTGGGTGTCTTGGAGTAAAGTTACTAAATCGAAAAGAAAGGTGGGTTTGGTGTTGGTTGCTTGAACTCGTTGAATCTCTCTCTCTCTTCTTGCAAAGTGGTGGTGGAGAATGAAAACGGTGAGACATGAGCTTTGGTTTAAATGTATCAAAGCATTCCACAATCTTTCTTTTGTTGACGGGAAACCTTTAGCCAAAAAGTCAATTTCGGGTGTTTGGTTTAATATTTATGATATTTTTTATGATTTTGTGGATCTAGGAATCTCTATGGATAGTCTTTTCACTAGGGTGGTGGGTGTTGGTGATAAACGATGTTTTGGAAGGATATTTGGTGTTGTTCTTGTCCGTTAAAAGACAAATTTCCTGCCATATATGTTGTGGATTCTAATAAAAATTGCTTTATTTCTGATAGAGTGATTTTAGAAGTTGAATCTAGTCTTCAGTTGGAATGGAACTGGGGAAGACAAGTTAGAAAGGGCAAGGAAAGTCAACAATTAAATGAGCTGGTGGATTTGATAAGATCACTTCACGATTGCTTAGGTCGCTTGGTGATTGTACGGGGGATCTAGTTTCCGGTGATGTTGATCCAATTTTCAAGTGGGTTAGTTAGGTCTCGCTCAAGGTGAAATGTTTTGTTTGGAGACTATTACTTAACCGAATTCTGACTTTTGTAAATTTGTCCAAGCGGGGTGTTTCAGTGGGTACCCTCGATTGTTGCTTCTGCAACAGTGGAGTAGAGACACGGTTGACCACATTTTATTTTCATGTGCTTATGTTAAAGCTATTTGGAGTTGGCTCACAGACTGGTGTGGCATTATCCCTTTCGTTCCCTGTAATTTTTGTGAGCTTCATGTTTTGTTGCAGGACCATATTCAAGACAATAAATGTAATCTTTTAAGGTTAGCCTTGGTGTACTCTTCTCTTTGGCTGATTTGGAAGGCTAGAAACGGGCTTCTTTTTAACAAGGTGAGATGTGCCAGACGGCGGATGACATTCAAGCTCTTACTTTTAAATGGATTAAACATACATCTACTTTAGTTTCGCTTTGACTGGTCTAGTTGGATTAGTTCCCCTTTGGTAAACCGTAATACCGTATTTTGTAAATTCTCTCTAGCATCTTGCTAGAGTTGTTTTTGGTTTAATCTATGGTTGTCGTTCTAAAAAAATTGATATGGATATAGGGATATTTGGGCCCAAATTTTGATCCACATATGTTTTGGTCTATGACTAATCTGGTCATGGGGTATCGACACTCAAAAGCGTGAAAATTGGACGGCGACAAAATCAGAAAAAAGGAAAACGAAAGCAACATCGGAAGACGAGGAGTCGATTACAATTAAGCATGTTGCACGACCAAAATTCATAATCATTTGGAGTCGAGACTCGAGATCTTATTGCAACCGTAAAAAATTAATTATTTAAACTAAATTCTCAAATCCTTAATCATGGCACCGGCAGCTTTTTCGTTTTTTTACCAATGAATGAAAGTTACTATTTTCAACAATGTGTTCTTCAATTTACCAGATATCTAAACAATGGATCCCTCCCCATAAAACTATGGGTCCCTCCCCATAAAACCTACATCTCCGCTGTTTTTTTTCTTTTGCAAACAAACTCTCTATTTTACATTCATGGTCCCTTTACTTTTGGAGTTTTTCAACTTATATATAATTATTAACAATATTTTCATTATTCTTTTATAACACAACAATAACTTAAATTTTATATAATCCTATTAATTTATTGTATTTATTTGAACATTATTATAAATTGGTTTATACATTTATTTTTGTATAATAATTTATTATTTTTTACAACTTGAAAATTTTAAAACTACAAACATACATACTTTTTCCATATAACTTTTACACATTTCGAAAAATAATTCATTATTTTTTATAACTTGCAACTTAAAAGAATAACATATCACTTCATATATAACTTTTACAAAATTCAAAAAATAATTCATTACTTTTTTTACAACTTGCAAATTGAAGGAATAAAACATCACTTCGTTTATAATTTTTACAAATTTCAAAAAATAATTCATCACTTTTTTTACAACTTGCAATTTCAAAGAATAAAACATCATTTCGTTTATAACTTTTACAAATTTCAAAAAATAATTCATCATTGTTATTGCAATTGTTATTGCAGTTTCAAAGAATACAACCAGCTCATGAACACATTGTTATTGCAATTCGTCTCGTCTATGGTAATCATTATGTCAAGCTAGAGCTAGAAGGAGAGTACCCGATGTCTCCTATTGTGCCACAATGGATTCATTGCAAACGTCCATGTGCAGCTGAAGTGTCGAATGTATTTGAACTTTTTTATTATTTTTTGCGCCAAAATATTATTTTATATTTGAACTTTTTTATTATTTGTTGCGTTAAAATATTATTTTATTATTGTTGTGTCG